ACTCTGTCCCTTGTGTCCCCCTCCCATTTCCAGCCCTGAATATGACATAAACATGTTTTAATAAATGCCACAAGACATAGAAAGTCACTGCATTAGCAGCGGGACAAAATAAACACTTGTTGTCACTGTAGCGGAACAAAATTAACAAGTGTTACTTTCATCCCGACAGGAACTCCTGACATTTAAACCCAATTTACTTTTAAACTCTGACAAGGCAAACTTCAGGATGTGTTACAGTACTAAATTACTGTGACACATGAAACAAGAAACACAACCTGTAATTAGAAAAAAAGTTATGGCTTCAGTAATTTACTTACCATACTCAAAAACTGTTTTCTGAACCTAACCATGGGAAATGATGATGAAATCACGTGATATTCGGCAGCTCTGTCAAGGGTTGCATGCTGAACTTGCTGTCATAGCTTGGAATGCAAATGTAGTCAGGACTCTGAGAAAATCGCTTTGTTACTTACGTCCTGGTTTTCCCCTACTTGTCTCCTTCAACTTAAATACAACAGGGCTGGATTATGACATGGCGGTGCCTTGGGCATAGACCGGTTTAAAGGCCCCCTTGGTTGAAATTGCGGTCTGGGCCTCCTCTCTGGTCTAGTGCCCTGGGCATATGCCCTTGTAGGCTTGTGAATTAATACATTAAAAACAGATAAAGCAGTGAATTTTGAATGTGAATTCCAAGGCAAAACTACTTTAGATAATCATAATAGAGTAGTCAATCTACTTTATGGGCAGTGACTGGTAATTTTGTCTTATCTGACAGTCACCGTTGTGTACTTTGTTTAAAAAAAAAAGCACACTTGATTTGGTCAGATGTTTGGACATTTAGTTTGTATTCTTTTTGTGTTTCTTTCTATTCTGCTTCCTTTGTTTTGATCACTAGTTTGCTGTCATGGTAACTTATTTAGTTTGTTATTATACATTACAGTTCAAAAGGGATCAGTCATTTTGTAATGTTTATGTTTTTGAATTTAGTCTCTTATCCTCATCAAAGCTGTATTTATTTGATCAAAAAGTGAAAACAGTAATTCAGTCAGGACCACTTTCGTCAAAGTATTTTTATTACAATTATATTGCATACCGTTAGTGTTGGCAGTATGGTTCTGTTCTGGGCAAACTCCACATGCCTGTCCATGCAGCCATGCTTGGACAGAGCTGGGAGAGCAGAAAGTCAAACCCCCCTGGGGTACAGAACAGATCCAGTATATGCATACATAATTACAATTCATGATTACATGAGTTGTAGAAATACAAAAAACATGATAGAGGATACTTGCAAAGTAGTGAACTGTATACAGAAAGAAACAAAATCCAGATTAGATTACAGGTAGAGTTAGGTGGAGTTGGGGTTGGAAGAGGGAGTTTGATTTGCGAGCAGCGATGCGATAGAAGAGATGCTGAAAGAATGGAAATTTAAATGGACCGCTGTGATAAGTGTCAAGACTGGATTGGTACACGTCAGGAACAGCTGACTATCAGCTGATGCAAGCTTGTGGCCTGCCTGAACTAACGTGATGCTTGATTACTGTGAAATATTTTTACAATTTAAAATAATGATTTTCTATTTTAATGTACTTTAAAATGTAATTTATTCCTGTGATACAAAGCTGAATTTTCAGCATCATTACTCCGGTCTTCAGTGTCATTCTAATATGCTGATTTATTATCAATATCAGAAACAGTTGTGCTGCTTCATATTTTTTGGGAACCTGTGGTACTTTTTTGATGAATAACAATTTAAGAAAAACAGCATTTATTTATGACTGACCACATTTTCACAATAATATATTATAAAATTTCTATAAGGACAGTGTTGTGGTATGGATGATAAAACAAACACTTGTGTTTAACTGCAACCATAAATAAATTATAGAAATGAAAAGATGCTCAACATAAATGCTTCAGATAAATAAGGTTTTGAGCTGCAAATTATATCTTCACATTCATTTGAAATTGTCTTGTGACATAACTTGGATCATTCAATTTTGTCTAATTTTAGACCTATATCTAAACTCCCCTTTTTATCGAAAGTTTTGGAGAGAGTTGTTTTTAATCAACTTCAATCATTTCTAGATTAATTTAGTATTTATGAAAAATTTCAGTCTGGTTTTAAGCTCTGTCACAGTACAGAAACTGCTCTTTTAAAGGGGTCATATGATGCGATTTCAAGTTTTCCTTTCTCTTTGGAGTGTTACAAGCTCTTGGTGCATAAAGATCTGTAAAGTTGCAAAGACTAAAGTCTCAAATCCAAAGAGATATTCTTTATAAAAGTTAAGAGTCAGCCACACCTACCTAAAACG